ATGCTCTTACTTGGAATATTACTCTCTTTTAATTTATAACTAGTAAACAGAACAGTGCAGTGATTAAGAGCTACTAAATTCTGAAAACAGACAGCAAGGGTTCAAATCCTGGCTCTTTATTCCTAGCTATGTACCTCTGAACAAGCGACTTAATCCTTCTATGCCTATTTCCTCATCTGTAACACTTTGATGATAATAAAATCTACCTCTTAGGAGTTGGGAGGATTATATAATAAAAGTATTTACATCATTTTTGTGCCAACAGTAACGCCTCAAAAAATGTTAGCCATTATTATTTATCATTATTGTCATCACCATCTTAATTCCTATTAAAGTTCTGAAAGACAAAGTCTGAAGTCTTGACATGCTAAAGATTAATCATTAAAATTCAGTGACTACTCAAGTAAGTAATCCCTGTTAAGTCTCTAGAATTTTTCGTGGGGATCCTCTAAATTAGAAAAGCAGCACATACTAGAAGAAACAGCACAAACACAAGCCAAAAATTATTTGCTCCATTACTGCTCCACAGACTTAAATGTGCAAGCCTCCCGACCCAAATTTCAAACTGCTCATTTTACATTATAGGGTTATTGTGAGATCAAATGAGATAATGCATGAGAAAACATACCCAATCCATTCAAGCTCTAAATAAATGCTCAGGGCCCATGTATTACTCATTTTCATACCCCTAAGGCCTACTAAAATGTACAACAGAGGTTATAATCTGCCAGGAAGGCTACAAAGACTGTAATGTGAAGAACTGATGAAGATGAATAAGAAACTTAAATGTGCATCAACTGACGAACAGTCAAAAATGTAGTACATTAACATAATAAAATATTATTTGACAATGAAAAGGAACTGCTGATACATACAACATGGATAACCACTGAAACACACACTAAGCAAAAGAGGTCAGACACAAAAGACTGAAATGAAAACAGCATGACTCCCCTTATAGGAAGTGTACAGAACCAGCAAATCAATAGACATGTTAAATACATTACTGACTTGCTTTGGACTATGTGTGTATGGAGTTGGGGAGGTGACTGCTAATGGATACAAGAGTCCCCCTTTCGTGACACTGGGAATCGAGAACCGAGGGCCTTGCACTGAGCCAGTACATTTTTTTGAGACATGGCCTCATTAAGTTGCTACGTTTCCCAGAATAGGTTTGAACTTGTTATCCTCCTGCCTCAGCTTCCTAGAGAGCTGGGATTATAAGCATGTGCCATCACGTCCAGCCAAATTTCTTTTTGAAATGTTATTCTAAAAACTGCTGTGGTTATGGTTGTCCTCTGTGAAGACACTAAAAACCACTGAACTGTATACTTTAAATAGATAGATTCTATGGAATGTAAATTTTATCTCAATACATAAAGCTGTTCTGAAAAGATTAAGAAGAGAACTGCTAAATTAGAATTGTCTCAAACACTTTTTAAAAAAAAAAAAATTAGTGAGCTCCGACATGTGAACTAGACTGAGACCCAGGCTGAGGTAGGCATTAGGAAAAAATAATGAAAATTATCATGAGACCATTATATCTCTACAAATCCTACTAATAACAAATCTGGCATCTATTATCTTTCCTTTCAAAATTCTATGGTTATGAATCACCTCCTCCTGGTCTAGTTCAACAGTCTTCACTATAGTCACTGTGTCTGAACTGGAAGACTGAATTTGGTACTATCAACCTTTGTGGTGGAAAAATCTTCCTATCTTTGGTTTCTGTGCCACTAATGTACTTCCTGATTCTTCTCAGAATGTTTTACCTATTAGTCTATTATGTGACTCAAAATTCCAAAGCTCAAAGCCTTCTCCATTATACTTCCCATCTTATACATATCTACTCACATTTTACTACCAGTTATAGTCCAGTCACTACAAAATCTGCATTTCCTTTCTCTAGATAATGATTAAATGCATAAGGTTTAGTAACTTGCCTGAAGTCCCTTACGTTTCAGTAAGGTAATACACATAGTTCAGAAAAATGTCTGGCATACATAAGTACTTAATGTTAGCTATTCAACCAGTACCTTATATGTCAGGACATCTTACTCCTTCTTTTTGTTGTTTGTTTGTTTTTTGGCTTTTTGAGACAGGGTCTCACTAGGCAGTTCAGCCTGGCGTTGAGCTCACTTTCCTAGCCCAGGCTGGCCTCAAACTTGCAACGACCCTTTTGCCTTGGTCTCCCCACTTTCTGAAGAGAATTAGAGTACCCGATCAAACTAACTCTATCCTTGAAAGACCCTCCATGAACACCCTCATCAATCCCAACTTCACTTATTATTCACCAATACAGATTATCTGTGACAGTCAAGGTCCTTCATATTTTTTGTCTATTGCCATTTCTCTGCCTTTGCACATGCCTCTTTGATTTCCTGGAAAAACTCTTTCCACTTTGTGAATTTTTCTCACATATCACATAAATCTTTGACCTTGGTTGCACTTTTAACTCAAACAGGAGTTGGATGTTATTTGGTGATTTTGTAGGTTGTCTGTTTGTTTTCGTTTTTTGAGGCAGGGTCTTGCTATCTAGTTCAGGGTAGCCTTAAACTTACTATGTAGCCCAGGCTGGCCTTGAATTGACAGCAATCTTCCTTGCCTTAGCCTCCCAAGTGCTAGGATTACAGGCAGGCACCACCATACCTGGTTGTTCAGTGATTTTGATGTACAAGCGCTGCTTCTCCAACAAAAGAAACTTCTGTTCCTCTTTCAACAACTGTTGAGTTTTTCAAAGAGACCCCTATTTTAGTTTCCAAGTTTTTTCATAAGACTACTTCACAAATAGGCAGCTCGGTCCTTTGCAGAAGTACAGTACACAAATGTTGACTGACTTACTAAAAAATGTTTCACATTGTATCAAAAGACAATCACTGCTTTCCACTGCCCCACCCATAACTTAGCACAGTAAAAGCAGGCACGATCTGTATTTCAGTGTTTTTGTTCTATGTAGAAAGAAAAAGGAAGACTATACTAACAATTATACCCAATAAAAGAAATAAAACAATTATTAGAAATATAACTCAAGGCTAGTATAATGGTGCACTCTTCTAATCTCAGCACTCTGGAAGCTGGGTAGGGTGACTCCAAATTCAACCCCAGCCTGGGCAACTTCGCAAAACTTAGTCTTGAAATAAAAAAATTTTCTAGAAGGGCTGAGATACAATTCAATATGAAGGCCTGAGTTCAATTTCCAATAACACACACACACATGATTTTAATTCATTCTCAAAAAGACTACATAATATGAAAAACAACAGAATGCTAGCTATTTAGGAACTGAGTGACTTCGAAACAGTAAAATTTTTTATTTCACCCAAACTAACTAACTAAAAAGGCCAAAATAATTATGTTCTGGCTTCATCCAAAAAAATCTCATAATGGAATGAGAAACTCTCCAGGATCTTCAGCAGCACAAAGCCAAGAACAAGATTCTCTCGGTAACTCCAACACAAGACCAGAAAAAGACAACTTCTCAGATTTACTTAAGAAACTAAAAAAGTCAACCACATTTATATACCCCACCCAGTTAGGGAAGAAACAAAACTCTAAGAGATGTACTGCTTTTCTGTAAGTATGTGCTAAGGTCTAGAAGGAATGAAAGATTTCTCTCACTGTTACAGTAGTCTCTTCCCTGTAAAGAGAGCAATCTGTGGTCTCAAAAAAGCTAAACACAGGACGATGGAAACTTAACCTGGAAAGGACATTATAGGAGGGAAAAAAGTATACAAACCGCATGTTTCTAAACCGGTGTCTAGAGTCCAACATAGTCAACAGAAAGAAAAGTGAAATAAAAGGACTTCCACAAAAAAGGAAACTAAGTGAAACTACTGCTATCTTGCAAGAAAAAACTATATATAACACACCTATATGACATGTATGCTTCTTCACGAGGGAACAAAATACAGTAGAAGGAAAAATAAAATAATTGTTAGGAAAAAGAAAATACATGATACAATCCCCAACTCTACTCATTCAGGAATAAATACATCTAGGAACGCCATAAACTAGTGCAACAACCAAAATGGAAAACCTCTGCCAATCATACACACAAAAAATAAAACAGAAATATGAAAACTATACGCATCAAAGCACCAGTAACAGGAGCTTATTCTCATTTTAGGATCGAGAGAAGAGAAAGAAGAGCTGATGGGAGATGAGAAAAAAAGTCAATGAAACTAAGCTCTGGTATGTCCCTTACTGATTTCAATTTCAGAGAGTACAAAACTCTTGGTTTCTTCTATCTAACCAACTGTAGGGCTCTGCAAAGCAAACTGACCTTAGCACTTTCCACATCACCCGTAGGAAATCACCAAAGGAAAAACCATCCCGTTAACCTCCCTCTTCACCAGCTGCAAAAATGGAGAGGATGGGGGGGACGGGACACCCTACCACGTGGGCAGGATGCAACACACACAGGACACCAACACATCCGCAAGGAACGGCTGCCTTTGCCCCAATGCCAGCAAAGGACACAGCGAAAGAACGGGCGGGAACGCAGGCCCCTCGCGAGGGCCTCTTCCGCCGAAGGGCACCCCGAAGGCACAAGGTACTAGCCGCCTTCCGGACCGAAAAGCGCCCAGAGGCTTGAAGAGAAGGACTCGCATCGCGCCGGGGCCCGGGGGCTGGCCCAGACGAGGGCGCGAGTCGCGGAGAGGAGACGCCCGCTGCCCTCGGACTCCGAGCTCAGCGATCTACGTCCGGTTCCCCCGGGCCCCATCTGGGGGAGGGGCCGGAGGCGCGGAGCCGCCGCTCCCCAGCTGAGGGGCAGCAGCAGCTGAGAAGCGCCGTGGGGGAGAGAGGCACCCAAGCCTCGCGCCCCCGCCAGGCCCGGCCAGAGCCCCCGCCCCGCCCGCCGCTCACCACGCAGCGCGCAGCGGCTGAGAAAGCAGAAAGCGTCTCGCGGAGGGCAACCCCTGCCTCGGTCCCGGGAGATGCCCCAGCCCCGCCTCCTCGCCCGTCGCCCCGGCCCGGCGGCGCGGGCGCCTGGCACTCACCTCAGGCTGCGCAGGCCGGGACGGCCCGGCCGAGCCCCCGGCCGCTGCGTGCGACTCCGCCCCCTAAGAAGGGTCCCAATAGCGCCTGTTGTGAGCCGCCAGGGCCCGAAGCAGCGCCGAGAGCGGCGGCGGCAGCGGGAGCAGCCAACATCCGGGGCCGCGCACCCGGAACTACTTACCGACCCACGCCCCCCCACGCCCCCGCCTCCCTCGCCTCCCGCGACGTCTCTGCGCCACCGTACTGGCGTCGGCGACGGCGGCGGCAGCGGCGGTAGCGTCAGGGCCCTCCGCGATCTCGCGACTTACACTGGATTCCTCCGCCAAGGCAAATAGTGCCCTGGGACTTCAGTGGCTCTACCGCTGCGTAACTGGTGTTAACAATTGCCGCGCACAGTTCCGTGCGATTTTGGACCCTGTCCCTCAGAGTGACGTCTGGGGAATGCAGGTGGCAAAAGCTGCCCCGCAGTCGATGATTGCTAGGACCTGCGGCCCCGGACCGTTTCCAGGGGTCCCGTGCACCATATGGAATGTGGCCTCGTGACCTCTCTCCCTGCCTTCCAACCTGTGCCACCTCAGCGTAGTGGCAGGCACCGTAGCTTCACCAAGAAATCTGGCCCCTTTCCGACCTCACACACCGAGGAGGTACAGGGCCCTGCGAAGGCAGAAGCGGATCTTCCCTGAGGACACTTGCTCTTAAAAACCTCACGAGCTGCGGGTTCTAGGCCCGCTTCTGCGGCGGCCTTTCTTTTGCGGAGTCATATTTTCTCTCTGCTAAACAAAGGACTTGGAACTCTGAAAGGCCTTCAGACTCTCAGGGTCACTGTCTGAGTTATAGTCCTGCTATCAACAGGTGGAGGGAGCATTAAGAAAGGTATTTCCGACGCCTGCTGGACTTTGGAATTTACTTCTGCGTCAGTCTTCACTGAGTCTCTGAACTGTTAGCACTGATAATCTTCCCTGTAATTGCACGCTTAATTACATTGCGATACATTATTTGCTGTTGCTTCATTAACCTACTCTCTGTACAGCACTGAGGACACTTAAACTCCATAAATGTTTCATATTTGAATACGGAGGCATTCTTTAGATAAACGCTAGGTTAATTGGATGAGAGGAATAAGAGAGACCTGAGTGACTTGGCCTTGGAAAGTTATTTTTCTGTCAAAGAGATCAGATAAAGACTTCCAGTATTTCAAGATCTGAGCACTCCATTCCTTCAGCAAATATTAAACACCTGCCCTTTGCCAAGCAACTCCATGCCCTGCGTCCCTGGGGATTCAAAGTCGTCACATAACACCTTTTCTTTATAGTACTCTAACAAGATTCTCAACATTCATTTTCTCGTCCACCCAACATATATTTGCCAATCACTACTTAGTTCGCAGATTCTGCAGTACTTTTGGATGAAAGGGTACCAGGAATCGAACCTAGGACCTTACACTTGCCAGGTAGGCGCTGTCACTGAGCTAAATCCCTAGCCCTTCTAAGGTATTTTAGTGCTCAAGAAGTGTCAATGAGAAGAGAGAAAAATACTCTACCTCTTGGAGCTTTTATTCTAGGGGACAGAATTGTGAAATAGGTGTTGAGAGCTCTAGGAAAAAATAGGCTAAGGGTTATAAGGAACACTAGAAGAAGAAACAATGAAACAATAAATCGAGCTATCAGGGTGAACCCCATTTATAATACAATTTTAACCAGACTTGGGGGAATTGAAGGAAGGAACCATGCAGATGTGGCAGAAGCATTCCTGAAAATGTTAGAAATAGTGAAGAGGCCAGGACAATTAGAAAATAAGATTGGAAGATCAGAACAGAAAAGGAATCTTGCAGGCCGTTGTAAGAATCTTGACTAAGATTCATTCTGGCTTGCTTTGCTAAGAGCAGAAAGTAGTAGGACAATGATAGAAGCCAGAGGCTTCATTTTCTATGTGCAGAATGGCTTGGCCAGGAAGATATCAATGAATAGAATAAGATACAGATTATATAGTTTAAGAACTCATAGGGTAGCGGGCGCGTGGTGGCTCCTGCCTGTAATCCCAGTACTCGGGAGGCTGAGGCAGGAGGATTGTTTCGAGTTCGAGACCAGCCTAGGCTACAAAGTAAGCTCAAGGCCAGCCTGATCTGCATAGCAAGACCCGGTCTCAAAAAAAAAAAAAAAAAAAAGCCCTCATAGGATAGTAGGAAGCAAGTGGATTACATAATTATAATACACTGGGATAAGGAAAATGGTATCCCAAAGAGCAGGCCACCTTTCCCAGCTTTCCTGAGTGGATAGATGTTCTCAGAGCTCCAAATTGCTGAAGGAATTAGAAATTCCTGATTCTTTGTTGGTCTGCTGGGTGGATCCTCAGTAACAGTAAACACTGGCCTTATTCCCAGTCTTTGTTGTCCAGAGCCTAACTTTATCTGAGAGACTATAGGGAGAAGGGTACTAACAAACAGTCTGGCTCAAGTATTTAAGGGGATAGACAAAACTGATGTTACCCATTGAAAGAAACTAAAGCTAGTAGTCAACGGGGCTGCTTGTTTTTTGAGACAGTCTTGCTATGTATCCAGGCTGCCTTCTTAAGCACACTATGTGACTCAAGCTGGCCTTGAACTCAAGGCAGTCTTCCTGCCTCAGCCTTCCAAATGCAGCACCAGACCCAGTTTGGAGGTTTTCACCTGACACTAGAATCAAGGTCATAAAAATCCCAACCCAGGAATCTTGCTGAGCCGCTTGAGTAGAGTCAGCAAGAGGATAGAGTGAAAGTGAAGAAAGAGTTATTTTCGGACTGCAGCTAAAGTCTGGAGGTTAGCTAAAACTAAAGTCACTACCACTTCTTACAAGTCTTGGGTCAGTGACTCATCCCCGCTCAATCTCAGATTCCAAAATGCTTCTTTAAAGTGTTCGGCGGGGAAGGGACATAGAACTGGGGAGAGAACAAAACTCAATAGCTAGTTGCCAGAAAGGGGTGGAGGAGGTGGGGGAAAGAGTTTAGCTTTTACAAAGTGTTAAAAGGTGGAGAAGCAACTGACCCAACTTGCTGCCTGTGGGATTTGTGCGAAATGAATAGAGTTTAGCTGTTCTTATCACAAACAATAACTGAGACGCTGGGTATTAATTTGCTATACTCTAGTAATCTGTTTACTGTATACATGGCAACATGTATGGCTTCAATATACACAATAAAAATTATTTTAAAAAATTTAAACACAAGGAACAGAAGGACTATATCCTCCCTCAAAAAAAGACTGTGATGGCTATAGTAGTAGAAGGAATTCTGGAACATTGTGAGAAGGAAAAGTTCCCAGGTGTGGTGGTGCGTGCCTGTAATCCTCATGAGGCAGGAGAATTGATGTGAGTTCAAGGCCAGCCCAAATTACAGCACAAGACCTTGTCAAAAAAAAAAGAAAAAGAAAGAAAGAAAGAAAGAAAGAAAGAAAGAAAGAAAGAAAAGAAAGAAAGAGAAAGAAAGAAAGAAAGAAAGAAAGAAAGAAAGAAGGAAAAGTTTAAAATCCAAATTGGAAAGGCAGAGTAAGCATCAGTTCTAACACTCTGTCACTATATTCTTGCATGCCTACATCGTTTAGTCCCTCTTAGCTTCTGTTTCCATACAATAAAAGCTACCTAGCCATGGAGATCATACACCAGTTATCGTAAAACAATAGCCCCCAAAACAACTGTTTTTATGTATAGGGCTGAGTGTTAACACAGAAAAGGGTAGTTCACTGTCTTGGAGATGCAAACAGCTTGGAAGAGAGGCTGTGACACAAGAGAAACCTCAAAGATGACATGGTATTCAATGCAGGGTAAAGTAGGATACTAGGGCTTGACCTGCCATTTGAAGACACTTATTACTATGGACACAGGGCAGCAGCTCCCAAGCCTGACATGAGACCCAGCTAGCCCTGTACCTAGTACCAATCTTCTGACATGAGAAGAAGCCAAGCCTAGCACTTGATGCCAATCTTTTAGTGCAAGATCAAGTGGAACCACCTGGACCAACTATCAAAAAAGATTATCAAACGAATAACAGTGGGCCAGGGATTTAGCTCAGTGGCATAAGCGCCTGTCTGGCAAGCATGAAGTCATGAGTTTGATCCCTGGTACCAAAAAAAAGCAACAATCAACTGTGTACCCACTGCCTTTCTTGTCCTTCTACTTGCAGGAAATATCTTTTTCCTTCAAAGTTCTTTCCTCCATGGGTGCTTCTTTTGTTCTCTTTTCCTTTTCTTTTTATTCCTGCCCCAAAATAAACAGTGATCTGTCACATTTGCCAATTGTCCTGACTAATTCATTGAATTTCCAGTAAGAACCTGGAAAACACTGCTGGTCCTTACTTCACCAATATCAAAGGGACAAATCCTTAAGAGACAAAGATTGCTTCAAGAGATAAAGGTTTTATTGTTTTGTGTTGTTTGCAATCTTTTCCCAGCTTCCTCTGGGTTACACATTCCCTGGGAGAAACACTGCCCAGAGCTGGGCTGCAAGTGCCCTACAAAAACCTTGACACTAGCAGTACTTCAGTAGCTGAGTGTTCAACACTTCATGTGACCCACGGCCACTTAGGCAAATGACACTTTTCCTGATTCATTTCTCCCTTTGTATTTGTTATACAAGGAAAGCAAAACTGAGAAATGAATTTAAAATGAGCTGAGATCTGCAAGAGGTAGAGAGAAAAATGAGATACCTCTCCTATCATTCTCAGCCCTGGAAGACCCTTCCAGATTCCCTAGGTATCTTTACATAATAATGTATTTCATATCTTAAATGCAAAAGAAAAAAAGACTGTACAGGCCTTTGGGAAGCTGTCTGCAGCACCACTTATGCACTTAATGGCAACACTTGGGTGTTAGTCACTGTGCATACTTAAATAGCATTCAATAGGCGTTTACCAAGTACCTGCTCCATACCAGCTATTGTGCTAAATGCCAAGAGCCAAAAAGAATAAAGAAGACATGAAAACAACTTCAGTGCAAATTGATAGAGATTTATACTTGTGCCATGGAAACAGCAGCAAAAAAGAAAGCCTTAAATGTTTTGCAGGCATGGGGGTGGGGAGATTTACACTTAAAAGGTAAGGGGAAATGCTAGGTTTGAGTAAATGAGTACAAATTTTATGTGTAGAGACAGAAGCAAGTTTGAGAGTAGAGGAAAAAAATGGTGGGGGGGGCAATGGAGAACAGCTTATGGAAAGTCAAAAGATGGGCATATAAATAAAGAATATAGAAATAATTATCTGATAAATAAGCATTAAATTCCATTGGCTGATGGAAATAACTTAGAGCTAGACTACATCACTATATATACACTGTCTTAATACTGAGTTCCTGCCCTCTAGAAGTTTGGCATTAACTTCATATTAAATTGGTGAGGCAAATGTGATCCTTCCCACCCAGAATGGTGGTGCATACCTGTAATCTCAGCACTCTGGAGGCTGAGGTAGGAGGATCACTTAGACTTTGAGGGCAATCAGGATTACACAGTGAGTTCATGGCCAGCATGAAATACATAGCAGGATCCTGTCTCAAAATGATATG